TATATATATATATGAAACTAGAAATGGAAAATTATTGATGATAACAGGTATGATTAAGCCACTATCCAGTATATTCTCGATAGGAAATCACATTTTGTATGCTGTGATGATGCTCAGTGAATGAATGTAAATTAATTACCTAAAATTTAAATTAAAAAAGAAGATGCACCATTTTAATCATATTTGTAAACATTACTTTAGTGGCATTAAATTAATGCCACTTCACCATACTGTGGATTCTCACTACTATTTCCAAATAGAAACTCTATAACCATTAAGCAACACCTTGTCACTCTACCTTCCCCAGCCTCTGTTAACTTCTAATTTACCTATGAATTTGATTACTGTAAGGTACCTCATATAAGAAGAAACATACTATATTTTCCTTTTCTGTTTGGCTTATTTCCTTAACATAATGTCTTCAAGGTTCATCCCTGTTGTAACATTTGCTAGAACTTCTTACTTTTTTATGTTGGACTAATATTCCATTGTATGGACATACCACATTTTGATTTATCCATTCATCTTAAATGAATATTTGGGTTGGTTCTGCCTTTTGACTACTGTGAATAATGCTGCTATGAACATTGGTGTATAAATATCTGAGTTCCTGTTTTCAAATCCTTTGGTGATATACACAGGAGTGGAATTGCTAAATCATACAGTAATTCTGTTTAGCCTTTTGTTTTTCCCTCTTTTGTGCATTTATTTTTTTCATTGGGGTGAGATTCATGTGAAATCAGCCATTTCAAAGTGTGGGATTCGGTAGCATCTGGAACGTTCACATTACTCTGCAGCCGTCACCTCTGTCTAGGTCTGCGTGCAGCATCCCAGAAGGGACCCCATGCCCATTAAGCTCTCACTACCCACGCCCTTCTTCCCCTGGCCCTGGATACTACTAATATGTTGTCAAGTTTGTTTGGCATCTTGTTCCCATGGTAATCTGTACCAAAGCCCCGTGCAGCTCTCCACTCTAAAATGAGGGAGCAGAAGCTTGGAGAAACCAGGTCAATTGTTCAAAATCACAAACTGAAGACTAGCCGTGCCTGTTTTAAAAACTGGGAAATCTCATTCCATATTCTGAGCTCTCTCCACTGCAAATGGGTTGCAAACCCCTGGAGCAGCTGGAGATGGCAATGGGGGAGAAACTAACACAACCGTCTGATAAATGTAATGATTAGCTCTGTGAGACGGGCCAGAAGATGGAGACGGGGACCTGGAAACCGACGGCTTCAGGAGGATTTCAGACAGACAGGAATGTACACAGGTTTTGAGCAGCAAGAAGATGCTTGTTAACTTCGTGGCATGGACTCACCCGTTCTGCCTAACCTTGAGAAAATTATTTTGCATCTTGAAGACTATTTCTTTTTTCAATTTGCAGGAGGTTGCTTGTGCTTACCAGAGAAAGAAAGGCCCCTCCAATGGAGCATGACCATGTAACAATACCTTTTCTTCCACTTCTCCACGTGTTGGGATTTGGGGCACACGCACCCAGCATGTTTATGTTTTCTTTTAAAAATTATTTATTTTATTTTATTAATTATTATTTTATTTGACCAGAGAGACAGAGAGAGAGAGGGAGAAAGGGAAAGTGAGAAAGCAAGCTGCCAAGTCCGGGACTCAAACTGGGTCAGCCATGTGGAGAATCAGTGTCTTAACCGCCCACCTGCTCCCCCTTCCCCCCCTCCCTGCTTCGGCATGTTTTTAAGCTGCTGGAGCTGGGACTTGAATCTCAGTGGACCATGTGGGGTCCTTAACCACGGGGCGGCCTGCCATTCGTATTTTAAAGGCACAAGTCACCTAGGCCAGTCTTTAGAAGGAGCTGGAAGGGAGAGGGCATGAGTGGGTGTGGAGTCTGCGCTGAGCAGGAGGCCGGGCAGTAGCTGTGGTGGAAGGACCACGGTGTGCGTAGCCGCAGCCGCCCTGTAGCTCGTGTGTGCCGTGCTGCAGCTCAGGGCTGGCGCAGGCGGAGACACACAGAACATCCAGGCGGGCTGGACTAAGGCAGCCTCCCTTTAAATGAAGCAAAGTGGAGGAATTAGGCCGTAAAACAAAAATATTTACACAGGAAAAGATGCAGGCCAAGGTATGACTCCTCACTCCTGCAGCTGTGAGCATTCAGCAAAACATAGTCCTCAAAACCAAACCAAACCAAACCAACAAAACCAAACAAAACAGACATGATCCGCAAGGACAAGCAGCCCAGTCATGGCAAAGGCTGGTCTTACCGCAGTGAGGTGAGGGGTCTGGAGGGCCCAGAATGAGATAGAAACGGTATCGGGAAACTGTAGAGACGGCTAGACTGGGAATAAAATCGGAACCTTCTGGGCCTCAGAACCTCCCCCTATTCCTTCTGCTCCGGAGCTGCCAGGAGGGCCGTGGGGCCTGGAGAAGGTTTAGGGGAACACTCACCTTCCTGCGTCTGAATCTTCTGGCCAAGACAGAGCACTAGAAAAGAGAGAGTCATAAAAAAAGAGTTCTCAGGACCAGCAGTTAGCGTAATGGCTATGTTGCTGGACTCCCATGTAGTCGACCACAGTTTGAGTCCCGGACCCGGGGGCTTAAACTCACACCGGGTGCGTGTGCACGCGTGTCCAAGATCCTGAGAGGAGAATGGAGGAGAAGGGACTGCGGCGTGGCCATCCCCCCTGGGGGGTGATTTCTTGCTGCTTTCTGTCTCTCTGTCTCTCTCAGTCTTTCTGGCAAATGTATGTGCCCTATAGCAAAAAAAAAAAAAAAGAGAGAGAGAGAGAGAGAGAGAGAGAGAGAAAGAAAAGAAGAAAAAAAAAGAAGAAGAAAGAAAACAACAACAACAAAAAAACGAGTTCTCCAGTTTCCCACCTCGAGTACAAATAGCCACACCTAATCACATACAGAGTGAAGCCCGTGACTTGGTGGTTAAAGGAGCCAGGACCCACGTGACTGACTGCAGTTCGAATCTCAGCCCCTAGTGATATGAGAAGCGCAGCGGTGTGAGCGTGGGCACGCGGGCCCCAAACCCTGACAAGAAGGAGAAGTGCAGGAACGTTTGCACGCGGTGGCCTCCTGGAGCGGCGCTTTTTCTCTCCTCTCCCTCTGTCTCTCTCTCTGGCAAGCACATACACCCTCTGGCAAAAACAAACATAAAACACCACCGCCTAACAAACAAACAACAACATATCCTTCAGTTTTCAGCCCCTAAGTCTCTCTTACAAAGGAACCCTGGAGCCATCCTAAATCTCACACAGCACTTCACGGGTTAAACAGAGAACACGGAGCCCTGCGAAGGAGCTTGGGCTCAGGCGGACACGAAGCTATAGATCGCTAAGCACCGGCTACCTTCCCACTGCGATCAGAACCTCCTTAGAAGCCGCCGGAATCATGTGGTCCTCATGTCAGGAGAGACTCTGACTACTCGGGGATTTCTCCAGCTTCCCCTCTGACCCACCTGCGTTTCAGGACTCACCAAGACAGAGAAGGGTGGTCTCTTTAGGGGCCATGGCGCTGCCACAGCCTCAGCCTGGTTAGCCTCTTACTGTGCATTGACGGAATGACAGGTTTTCACAAGATAATAAGGTCTGCAGGAAACGGAGGTTGGACTTCCTCGTCAGAGAATTTCACCACCGATTGCCCCATAGGGAAGAGGAACGATTTCTTCCCGAAGTTAGTTCTAGCTGGGTCTTGGATGGGATCCAAGAGAGAGCCTGAATTCCTGTTTCTGTTTAAGATAATGAATGTTCTCAAAAGTGTCTAATGGTGCTCAAATCCATCTCTGACTCAGACACTACATTCCAATGGGAGGCCTGGGCAGAATATAAGGTGGGTGTTGTATACACCGTACAGGCCAAAATTTTCTTCATTGGACCATCTGAAAAGAAAAAAAAAAGCCATGTGGCTCTTATCATTTGGATAATGTTTTGTCCCCCAGAAATTCGCTTTGGAACTTGGTCCCCTGTCCACCTGCAGAAAAGTGAAACTGAAGCCCCATCACTCACCATTAACAAAAATCAACTCAAAATGGATCAAAGATCTAAACATAAAATCTCAAACTATCAAACTATTGGTGGAAAACACAGGAGAAACTCTTGGAGACAGTGGCATTGGCAAAGACGTCTTAAATAAAATTCCCAAAGTGCAGACAATAATCGAAGAAATATACAAGGGTGATTACATCAGATTAAAAAGCTTCTGCACAGCAAAAGAAATAATAATTAGAGTGAAGAGACCGCCCTCGGAATAGGAGAGTATCTTTGCAAACTGTGCTTCAGATAAGGGACTGATAACCAGAATACACAGGGGCTCAAGCAGCTCACCTGAAAAAAAAATCAACCTGGGGACCAGCACATGGTGTAACAGTTATGTCACTGGATTCCCACATGGCTGACCACAGTTTGAGTCTCAGATCCGGCGGTTTGAAACTCACACCAGGCGTGTGTACAAAATCCCAAGAGGAGAATGGAGGAGAAGGGATTGCGGCCTGGCCATCCCTCGTAGGGGTGATTTCTCGCTTTCTGTCTCTATATTTCTTTCTTAATAAATCACCCAGTGTTGGGTATTTCTGTTAGCAACATAAAAATGAACTAAGAAATTGACGCCTGTTTTAAATCTTTGTTATTTCTGGGATTCACGGTCTGAGCACTTTTACTTGGGCTTGATGAGGTATGCAGTATACTCTACACTTGGGATTATCTCCAAGCTAGGATGTAGAGAAATTCTCTCTGAAGCTATTCATCCTCTCTGAAAATCTCTTATTTTATTTTGGTTGTAAACTCCTGGCTATCACTAACTCTTCAAGTATGGGAAGTCAAAAATTCCAAATCAAACATTCTGTTAACTATTTCATTTTCACTGTAATGCATCAGCAGTCCTGACTTCCAACAAACTATTTTGAAGTGCTGAGCCTTTTTTATATTTTATGGAGAGAAGTAACTGCAGTCTTGCTAAGAGTCAGATACACAGGGCCTGCTTGTAGTGTGGTTGTTACGGTGGCTGGATCACACATGGCCAACTGTGTGGTTCAAGTCTCAGACTGGGGATTTTAAAAACAGGTGCATGTATGTGCATGCCCAAAATCATGAGAGGAGAATGGAGAAGGAATTGTAGTATGGCCAGTCTCCGAGGGATGTTTTCTCACTTTTCCTCTCTCTTTCTCTGTCTCTCTCCAGTGAGGGCACGAGCCCTACAGAAAAAAAGAGAGCGGTAGAGTAGAGAGAGTCAGGCACATTAATGGGCTGATTTCAGCACCATCTTTGTATCATGAGAGATTCTTCTGCAAACTCCAACATTTATCAATACAATGTGGGGGAAAGAGCTGGCCCAGTCGTCTGCTGATTAAAACCGCCAGATCCCACACGGCTGGCCATGCAGTTTGAATCCCAGCCCCATCAGCCTGAAAAAGATGCCAGTCATGCGTGCATCTGTGCCCACAATCCTAACAGGGTGGAGAAGGGGAGGAGAACGGATGCTGGTGTGTTAGACAGTAAGAATCAAGATGTCTGTGGGTCCTCGCCTATGCTGGCATTTCAGAGTAAAAGAAGATTTTCCTCAAAGTGGCCTAACTGGTAGTTACCTGGTGGTTGGGAGGTCCCATCCTCCTTGCGGAGGGCGACTTGGCAAATCCAAGCTTCCAGTGGAAATGAAGACCCACAGCACTCACGGAACAATGGTACTCAGCTGCATCTGTGTGAATGATTTGTCTGAACACCTAGGGAGGAGCGAGCTTTTGCTCTGAGGAAGAGAAAGGGGAGTTGCTCCTCTTCCCACTGACCTCAGAGAAGGAGAAGGAGGGAACCAGCAGTTAGCATAATGGCTATGTCGCTGGACTCCCACGTAGTCGACCGCGGTTCGCGTCCCGGACTCGGTGGCTTAAAACTCACGCCGGGCGCGTGTGCGTGCGTGCCCAAGATCCCGAGAGGAGAATGGAGGAGAAGGGATTGCGGCATGACCATCCCCCCTGGGGGGTGATTTCTCGCTTTCTGTCTCTCTGTCTCTCTCTGTCTGTCTGGCGAGCGCACGTGCCCTACAGTGAAAATCTCTCCAAAAAAAGAGAAGGAGAAGGAGAGAGTGGCCAGTGAGGGCCTTTTCCCTCTGCAGTTTCAAAGGCAACTAGTCCCAAGTAGAGGGTATTTGGCACTTGGTGGTATGCTGAGGCGCATTCCATCTTATTGTGAGCATCACACGTCTTCTTCAAAATAAAGATGAGACTCGGAGTTTTGAGAAATGTTGAAGACATTTTTATTCAGATATTTCAACATGTAAAATATTTTATATCAAAGAATAAATGGAAGTGTAGTTAAGATATATACAAGTTAAGATATATACACACATCCCTCTATATACATGTGTATGTGCATTTACATACATGCAAATTCCTCTGACACACATGTGCAGTGTACTTATGTGTATGTATGTGCATGTATATGTCACTCCCTATCAGAGTCTAATGGCGATGACTGCGATCTTGTCTCGGGATATGTCACAAGTTTCGTGAATGCATGGCGCACTGGCCGTGATTATATTGAGTCGGTGACTGAACGAGCTTTTCTCAACCTCTGTACATGGTATTTGGAGTCAGATTGTGACCCTCTGTCGTGGGGGAGAGGTGCTGACCTGTGCACTGGGGGATTCTGAGCAGCATCCCTGACCTCTACCCATTGGATGCCAGCACAGTCCCCTCCCCCAAGCAATGACATCCGAAAATGCCTAAACACTTACCCCCAGGCCTCCAGCTCTTTAGGATCTTGGGTACATGTGCCAGCATGTTTTCAGGCTGATCTGGGGATCAGAACCCATAGGTCAGTGGTGTGCCTTCAGCTCTGGGTTTAATATGCTACTGACCATGCCTGCAGGCTGGGACCTGTGACTTGCAAAAAAAAACCTTTGAAACATAGCACCAGGGAAGATGGACTATGTGTCTAAGCCTGATGTTAAGAGGAACCTCTCGTGTGCACGGAATGGCGAGTCGATCAGTGTAGTAGAGACTCCAGGTAGGATGAAGAAATACAGCCAGTTAGACTGCAGAGGTGAGGTCAGCAGGGATCAAGTGAAATGGGGAATTGTGGGATAAACAAAGGAGTGTAGTTTCCCTCCAGGAGGCAACGGGGATCGACGGTGCTTGCAAGGGAGAGAGAGCTACGTTGAGATTCATGTTGCGATGAAGAGGGGTGGCCCTCAAGACGAACTCCTGTGTTTTCGGATTCCAGATGTCATTACGTTGGCACTGTCAAACTGGGTGTGAGAAGAAACTGTGGCCTCCAGGAAAGACCTTCTAGAGGTCTCTGTGTGTGCTCATGGGGCGGGAGCCAAGCCTGGATCTTGGCTTAGAATCTTGCAAGTTCCATGTACACAGTGGTAACTGCTGCGGGTTCCTTGGGCCTCTGGGAAGTCGGAGCGATGATGTTCTGTGCAAAAGCCGAGTGATCCGGCTGCGCGTACGTCACCTCCCCTGGCTCTCCTTCCGGGTCCTGGAGAGAGGGCAATGGTGAGTGAGGGTGTGGCACGCATTCTGGGACTTGGAGGGAGGGAGTGAGACCGCGCCGGGGAGGACCTACCTCCCCCCTGGCTGTTCTGCCCACTCCAGGCTCGTGGTCCACGCCAGCAGCACCTGTAGGGGATGGAAGTCACACACACCTGGGCGGGCACTTCTGCGTCTTCATTTCACATACAGACGCCCAGGCACAGAGAGGCAGTGGCTGCCCGAGGTTATGCAGAGGAGACGTCGAAATTCTACTTTTCGGAGTTTAAGGACTCATTTCATTAATAGCTCCCAATCCCAAGCCATTGATCCTCTAACTTCCTCCCTTACACAGAACCGTCTCCTGGTATCGGTGGGAAGCTCTGGAGAACTAGGCGATGGTAGGACCTGACAGTGCCAGAGTGCTGGCCTTCTCCCTGGGAGGCTGTAGGCCGTGGCTCCTGCTGTGGGCCAGGCATGCCTACATGTGAGACGTGCACACGGCATACTCCCAGCCAGCCCCTCGCACCGCCGGGCGACACCGTCTTCTCCTTGACACTCACTCTGTTTAGCAGTGCACCAGCGATGGATGAAGAGGGAGAGAAGGAGGGCGAGGATGGTAATGGTCACTGCGGGCCCGATCAGAACACGCAAGTTACCTGGAGGGAGATGCGTCTGGTAAGATGTGAGCCACAGCTGTTTTATGGACTGCTTCCTGTCCACGGACTTCCAGGTCACCACGCACGACAGAGCTTTAGGACAGGGCCCTCCAAGGCTGGAGACTCAGCTCTTCCCCTCTTTCTCACTTACAGTCCTGAGAAACGCCGTGGAAGGTTCTGGGAGGTCAGCGGGGGCTGTCCACAGCACCCCAGGGTCAGTCGCTGTCCTTCCTAGAACAGCATGTTCTACAGCACTGTAACCCAGCGAGCCCTACTTTCCCGCGTGTGAAACACAGGGCTGGCTGCTTTTGGTCCCCTTCACTGCAGTGCAAACAGAGGGACTCCGTCTTCCCTGAGCTTCGGGGGACCAGCTCACCATAAAACCTCGGCTTCTGTTTTTCCTTCCTGCTTATCCATAAGCAGCAAACATGCTTCACGTAACTCGCTTTGTCTCACCAGGTACAAGCAAGTGATAGCAACTGGCACAACCGCAGGTACAGCCCTCCCCGGCAAAGGCCCGCGTGTATGGTAATTTGCTTCATAAAATCCACATGCACATCGCCCCTGAGTCAAACAAATGAAGTTCTTCAATAAAGGGAGAACAGAGTGAAATCGAGGTTGAAGGCAGTGAGGCGGAGTTGTATGTCAGACAGTGAGGAGGTGATAACGAGCCGGGGAGCCGGCTGCACATGCAGTGCGCTGTGTCTGTGGTCTCAGGGCAGACCCTAGGCTGGCGGGCTGGCGCTGAGTGTGAGAACACAGCCCCTCCGCAGCTGTCGCGCACGTGCAGCAGCTTCTGTGGCGCCCACTCCCTGAACCAGTAGGTCCTTCTGTGGGTTTACAAGGCTGATCGAGGTGATCATGCTCGCTCTAGTTTCAGAGTTCAAAGCCTGAACCCACTCAAAAGAATATTGGTGCTAGCCATCCAGGGCTCTATCTGTGACTGCAAGTGGGAGTGTGGTGGAGGTTTGGGGCAAGGGGAACCAAGAGGGGCAAGTTTTACGTCCACAGGAATTTCTTATTTCCAGACCCGTGCTGATGGGGAGGGGAGCGTTCACGTTTGCAGTCTGACCTCATCCTCACATGAAGTCTAAATGGGGGCAGGCTTTAGCTCAGTTTTATTGTGAATAAAACAGAGGATTGAAGAGGCACTCATACAGAGGTAGAACAGCGAAGTCTGAATCCACGCCCTTGCCGTTCTGGTGGTTGCTCACGGTATACTGTGTGTGCTTTCCTCTGCACCTCCCGCACTTTTTAATTCCCTCCTGCCAAGTATGAATTTAGATTCAGTGAGAAGTCTCAGAAAGAAACTAGTAAAGACCAACCAAGTAGGAAAAATCAGACCCGGCAGAACCCCCTCCTAATGACCCTACCCTGAGAACATAGCGCACACCCACCTGCTTCATTCATTCGGCGTCGAAGTCGGGACTGCCTCTCACTAGGAGGGTGGCGCTCACCTTCCACGGTCTCCTGCCCTTTGGCTGTGCACCTGGCAGGGCCTTATTCCATGTCAGCCACTGTCAGTCACACGTGCACCCGAGTGCGCCCTGCAGTGGTTTCCAACAGCAGCGAACATAGAGCGCACACT